GGGTTTGAACCGCCAGCCGTCTGGTTAGCAGGCAATTGTCTTAGCCACTATGCTACCAGAAATCTCCTATAGACTTCCTAAAATAAGTTAGATCTACAAAGGTTTATTTAGTAAAGGTTTCATTGTTGTATTTATAAAGTAGTGATCTCTCCTGCTTTATGAAACTGTTTTATTTCTTCAAAAAAGGTTTGAATTTAGTTTTTGTCAATATGCCTTTAAACACTTTGACAATCAGAATAAATTAAGTTTCTTTAAAATGAAGAAGGGAGTATTACGTATTTTAGTTTTTTATATAATTTGGTTCATATATATGAGAAGACTAGTTTATAGACTCTATCCATAGTGCTTTGCATTGCGCAAAACATTTTATGAATAATGTTTCATTGAAGCCTTGCAAAGGCTTTGTTTAGTAGCTCTTAATTTCATTTTACAGCTGAGTAAAATCTAGGACATGAAAAGGCTAAGAAACTTGACCCCCTACTTATAGCAAGTATTTTCTTTCACACAAACATTTATTCGTTTATAAAATTTGCTAGGCATTCTGATTCGGTAAAACTTCTGAATGTTTTTGAAAAGGTGTGTGAAGGTAAATGAGAAATTTAAGGCAACCATTCAGTTAATCTGTCTGATCTCAGAGTGCATGTAAGACTTAAAATTGTTAATGATAGACAGTAGAAAGGTCTATGTAGGTTATTTTAATAAGACTTATTAGCTGATTTACATCTATACTTTACATTAAATAATATCCTTTCGATAAGTTTTGATGACTGTTCCTCCTATTGCCTTCAGACCTGGCACTAGGGTTTTAGGTCATCATAAATTAAAATTTGGTTTTCTTCACTCAGAGAATATTGGGATAATGTGATTATCTGTCTGTTCTTTTGAAATTTGCAGAATCAAACAGCTCCTTTTAACCTTATGAGAAATTGCCACTATTTCTGATTTTTATTTATTAAAGTTGATGGAAGTAACTTATGATTATGGTAATTATCAAATTATGAGTAAAGGACTGTGTAGATAAGAAAAAGTAGTATTTTTTAGCCCATTAACAGTTAATGCTGAGTTAGCGAGACAAGATTAAATTATGTTTGAAACTTGCAGTTGATTTAAGAAAGCACAGAAATGCATATATTTAGGTGTAATAGCCCTGCAATATAGAGTGAATCTCAGTGCTTCCTGTTTCTGAGCTTGCTGGTATCTTTAGGTCACGTCATGCAGACCTTTTTCATTGATGTTTTCCAGTATATAGTGAATATACTGTTGTTTGCCAGAGAAATTTAAAATGTTCTGAGATAGCAAATGGTCGAGTATGTTTGAATACAGATAATGTGGGCAGCATGAAAAATAAACCATTGTGTTGCCTTTTTATAATTATGAAATAGCCTTATGACTTCTTGTTTGTATGTGTGCTTGTGTTTTAGCCGCAGCACCACAAGTTATTGTTCCTGATTCTAAGCTAATACAACATATGAATGCATCAAACATGGTAAGACTCAGAACTTAGCAATTTTATTGGCTGTACTTACTTTAACTCAAATAGTGATTAGGCTAGGTATGTTTTATATTAACAGTAGGGGAGTTCATTCAAGATGTGAGCAAAAATGGCATTTTTGTTATTTTCCTGAATTCTGATTTAGCAGCAAATCTGAAGTGTAGCTTGATATACTTAGACATTGAAGTTCATAAAATTGAGCAATTTTCTGTTCTAAATACCAGAAGAATTTGATGCTTTGGGGGACCCATATCATCTTCTACTATGCTTGGAAACTGGTGAGGGGGACCCACCAAACTGATTATACCAAGTATAGTTTCTGTTTTTGAAGATCCATTAATTTTAAAAAGTCAATAATGCTAAGAATTAAAAATTTTTGAAAATGGAAACTGTTTGAATAATTCAAGATGAGTATTTCTGAGTTTCAGACTTTTTAAAAAAAAAAAAATTCTCCAATTTTAAGTGGTTAAAGCATTCAGCTGCTAACCAAACCCACCAGTTCAAACCCACCAGAGAGCCTACTAGACAAAAAGGAAACAGTCTGCTTTCGTAAAGATTTACAGCCTTGGAAGCTCTATGTGGCAGTTCTGCTCTGTCCTTGGAATCAACTCAGTGGCAGTGGGTATAGTCTAATAAGTTTCCTTAAAATATGTAAAAGCTGTGTTTTAGGCTTTTTGTATTTCTGAGGGATGTCTTCTGAATTTCACAAGTCCTCAGATTTTCATATACCTTCTTGGCATATATATTTCACATGAAATGATGTAGTAAGTATAACTACAATGGCAAGAAATCCATTTTTTCCTGTTAATGCTTTAAGTTTTTTTAGGAGACATTGAAACAAATTGTGATTAGTTGTTCCAGCAGTTTCTAACCAATGGCTTTTCTTTATTCTGTTTCAAATACAGAGACTGTTAATGTGTCTAAAATTTCTGACGTTTCATTCTTAAATTCAGTCAAAGCTTAAAGGTAACAATCATTATTTTTAGTAATCTTTCTTACTCTGTGGAAATGATGCTAACAATGTAGCCGATTTTTCAGAAGTAGATCATCACGCCTTTTTTCTGAGATGCATCTTGGTGGACTCAAACTCACAACCTCTCAGTTAGCAGCCAAGTACATTTTTGGCTTGCACCACCCAGGGACTTCCATTGATTATAAAGAACAGTGTATTTAAACAGATCATAGGTGAGATGCTTCAATCAGTAAACTAGATTAGCATTTATTTTAACATTTTATTGTCATGTTTTCAGTGTTTACTCCATGTATTTACAAGTGAAACAATCAAAATGGACTCTTTGCCAAGACATTTTTGTTTGTTTGCTTTCATTGTTCTTGATTGAAAGTAATCCATTAAAAATAACTGATTTTTTGATGGCTCTGTATTACAGCTTTGGAAGTGAACATGTTGAAAACGTGTCTAATTTTCTAAAAACATGAGATCGCTGTTGTCATCCAGTTGATTCCAGCTCATAGCAACTCTGTAGCACACAGTAGTGCTGCCCCATAGGTTTCAAGGCTGTAATCTTTACCGAAGGAGACTACCTCATCTTTTCCCCCATGGACCACCTGGTGGGGTTTGAACTACTGACCTTTCTGTTAGTAGCCAAGCTTATCTTAATCACTGCACCAGATGTAAGATAGTGATATTATTACATAGAAAGCTATTTGAGGGAATTTATAAAATAGGAAAAGAACTCTCACTGGTGATGCAGTGGTTAAATGCTCAGCTTTTAGTGAGAAGGTCATTGGATCAGTCTGCCAGCCACTCTGCAGGAAAAAGATAAAGATGTGACAGTCTGCTTCCGAAAAGATTACAGCCTTGGAAACCCTGTGGGGCTGTTCTGCTTTCCTGTGGGGTCAATGAGTCAGAATTGACTCGACAGCAATAGGTATAAAACAGGACCATATCAAACCAGTTTTGCAAGTTTCTCTTTATAAAGTGATTGGTTTAAGTTATTATTCATGTTAGGATGATTTCATAAAATACAAGGGAAAATTTTCAATAGTCATTAAAAGGTGCTCAATGTATGGTATATAGCTCCACAAATATTTATTGGGCATCTTTGTTGTGCAGAAGGTATGCAGGTGGTTTTTGTGACATTTATACCCTGTAGGTCCACTGAGGAAAGACCTGGGGATGTTTCAGGCAGCCAGGAAAACCTTATGAGGCTTTTCTGCTCTGGGCTTACAGTTTGTGGAAAGTGACTCGGAAGCACCTAACTAACAACATGTCTTGTAAAAACTACTGTCATTTTGCCAGCAGAGGGAGATGTATTATCTTACAACATAAGAATTACAGGCACTTAATACTCCTAAATAATGTTTCTCAGTAGTGTTTGTTAATAGGTTGCTTAAACTTAGGTTGCCTTTGGTTTACCTGTATAGACAAAATTCATTTTAAATTGGATAATTAAGTATCCAGTTTAAAGATGGGTGAACCTAGTAGACTAACTGAATTCTGGAGGCATAGTGGGAATTTCAAGCTCAAGATGTAGAAATTACTTAAGCCAGTGAGATGTCTCCAAAAAGGAGATATATATATAGATATATATATCTATATATATATGTATTTTTTTAAATTGTGATTTGAGTGAAAGTTTACAGAGCAAATTCACTTTCCATACAGCATTTCACATACACTTTGTCTAATGACATTGACTACAATTTACCCCAATGCAACAAGCTCTCCTCTCACTTCCACCCCGTAGTCACCTCTTCCCTGTGTCCATCCCTCCGTGTGCTCCTGCCCCATGAGCTGTATCCCTGTGCATAAACAGCCCTTCTTTCTCCCATGATTATTCTCTCTAAGGAGTGTATCTACCTATTGTAAATGTTCAGCTCATATGCCTGTCTTTTGTTTGGCTGGAAGCCACAGGAGTGGGTTCAATTCCAGACCTGAAGGGCAGTTAGGGGCCATAGTCTCAGGGGTTCCACCAGGCTCTGTCAGACCAACAAACCTTGTCCCCCCCCCCCCCCTTTTTTTTTTCCAAATGCTTTTGAGGTTTGATCCACATTATTCTCTCTCTCTATCCAGGATCTCCTACATAGATCCCCGTCTGAGTGGTTGACAGTGGTAGCCGGGCACCAGCTAGTTCTTCTGGTCTCATAGTCGTATAGGTTGTGGATCGCATGGTATATCAGTCGCTGGGACTAATTGTTTCCATGAATCTATAGTTTTCTTCATTTTTCTTTGCTCTGGATGAGGAGAGACCCATCGTTGCATCTAGATGGCTATTTGCAAGCTTTTAAGATCCCAATTGCTACTCACCAAAGTAGGAGGTGGAACAATGTTTTGTGTAGTATGTTATGCCAGTTGAGCTTGATGTCCCCTGCGACTATGGTCCTGAGTCCACAGGTTCAACTACTCAGTCCCTCTGGGTAGCTGGCTGTGACCAAGAAGTGACTATAACCTTGTCCCTTGTCAGCTCTACTATACACCTGGGAATTCAGATCATACAAATACACTTATAGGATCATTGTTTGCCAACCCTTATAAATGGTCTTGGGTACACTCCCCGCTTCATAGACATACCTAATCGTTCAGCCTGTCCACCCATCTATCCACCCATATACCCATGTTTGCTTTCACTGACAACGCAGTACTGTATGTGCAGAAGAGTTCATCTTTCTTGTCTATATCATGCATGTACCTCTCTCTATCTTCCTCTTCCTCAATGCCACCATATTGATCACTCATATTTGGTACATTGCCCTTCTCTTCACCCAAATCAATACCTATCTCTACCTATCTAACAGTGTTCCTTCCCCTCCCCTCCCACCCCTGGTAACCAACAAAGAAAATTTCCTTCCATAGATAAACCTTTCCTTGACTTTTACAATAATGGACTAATACAATATTTGTCCTATGATTGACTTCCTTCACTCAGAATAATGTCCTCCAAGTTCATCCTATGTTATGCGATGTTTTGTAGATTCTAGGTTATTCTTTAGGGTTCCATAGTATTCCATTGTGTGTATGTACCAAACTTTGGTTATCCATTCCTCAGTTGGTGGACACCTAGGTTGTGTCCATCTTTTGGCTATTGTAAATAGCGCTGTGATGAACATGGGTGTGCATATGTCTGTTCTTGTCATGGCTCTCACTTCTTTAGAATATATACCTAGTAACGGAATGGCTGGGTCAAATGGTATTTCTAATTCCAACTCTTTAAGTAATTGCCATACTGCTTTCCACAGTGGTTTACAGTCCCACGAGCAGTGAATGAGAGTCTCAATCTCTCCACATCCTTGCCAGCATTTGTTATTTTGTATCTTGTTGAATTTTGCTACCAATGCTGGAGCAAGATGGTATCTCATTTCTTCATATGTTTTTTTGCCACCTGAATATCTTCCTTGAAGTGTCTGTTCATGTCTTCTGCCCATTTTTTAATTGAATTATTTGTCTTTTTGTTATTGAGGTGTTAGAGTTTTCCATAAATTCTAGAGATAAATCCCTTCAGATGCGTCATTGCCAAATATTTTTTCCCAATCTGTAGGTTTTCTTTTGACTCTTTTGGAGAAGTCTTTGGAAGCACATAAAAACTTGATTTTTTTTTTTTTTT